ATTAATCTCATACCGAGGTTCAGTTTCTTAATGAAGATGAATACACGGACTCGTACACTCGGCATATTCAGGGAGATAAGGAAACAAGCACATGGAGTAATTTCAACAATCCATCAGTGTGTTTAATATGTCCCAGGAAGCTGCGTACATGCTGCTGAGCCCCGAAGGGGAAATTTGATCCTCCTGCCTGATTAAAAACACACAAGGTCTGAGGCAGATAATGGTGTCGAGGTTTTCACTGCTAAAACCAGGGCCACAGCTGGAGGTTGTGCTTTTTCTCTCGGTCTTAAGCTGATGGAGAACATGACTGTGACAACCTGCGGAGAGGTCTTCGCCGGCCGGACTCACCTCTCACTCTTCGCGTTAGCTCCGAAGCTGCAGGGAGCTCAGGTGGCCTGAATACCAAGAAGCTTGGTTCTTAGCTTCTCTGTTGTTGCATGCATCTGTTTTCTCCTCACAGTGTCCAATCGTTATTGTCTCTGAGGCGTTTCTACCGACTCCATTTGAGAATTTATCCGACTCCATGAAGCAAATCAAACATTGTTGTGTCTACAATGTGTTTGTATTCGTCACAAACACCTTATTTTTCACACATCGAGTCGTAGACGTGCAAATCAAACCTGAAATTTACGTTTTTTTTGTTTTTTTTTTGTCCTGAAAAGTTTTGACGGCACAAACTGCAAACTGTGTTATTTATATGTTGAATGAGTATAATGCTGCGGCGGCCCCCACAAATAATTATGGTCTCTTCTTGTATTCACCGGCTCTCAGAATGTCACAAAGCAGTGATTGCACAGGTCTGTGATTACAGTCATTCATGGAGTGACTTGAGAAAAACATTTTATTTCATCGCTCTCCTTCACTGACGAGAGGGAAGCAGAATTCCAGAAGTGACAAGATCGAGGGTCTTCACGCGCTTCACTCTGAGAGAGAGGCCTCTGACTGATCATATCTGACGCCTCTGCTTCTCAGGTGAACGAGATTTACCACGACGAGTCGCTGGGAGTCCACATCAACGTGGTCCTGGTGAGGATGATCATGCTGGGCTACGCCAAGGTTTGTGTCCGTGTGCCGTTTGTTTTCCTGTTTCTGTTTTTTGGAAATGTAGAAAAAGTCGAAGAATGCGGCCGAGACGAATGCTTCTCCGCGCTCCCGAGAGAGCCTGACCACATCGCAGCGAAGTCAACCGAAGCTCGTTGAATGATCTATGAATTATTAGAACCAACAACTGATTTCAAAAGAACTGTTGATCATCACAGCTCGGGAATATCAATCCATGTAATCTCTGGCTTGTGACAGAATGCTAATGAGGTCGTTTACGCAGTCAAGGTTAATTGTTAAGCATTTCTCTCCCTCTCTCTTGCTCGTCAGTCCATCAGCCTGATTGAAAGAGGCAACCCATCGCGGAGCCTGGAGAACGTGTGCCGCTGGGCATTTGTGCAGCAGAAAGGCGACCCCGATCACGCCGAACATCACGACCACGCAATTTTCCTCACTCGCCAAGGCTTCGGCCCCACGGGGATGCAGGGTAAGGCCCCTGATGACTCACCGGCATGGCTCAAATCAGAATGTGCAGTTGCCTGACTAGTGTTACTGATCTGAGTACAGTTGCATGAGGTTATTTGTCATAATACACCGACGTCCATGTGGTGGCGTTATGTGTTCAGGCTGTCTGTCCGTCCCAGTCTCGTGAACGCGACGTCTCAAGAATGCTTTGAGGGAATGGCTGTGCATTTTTAAAGTATTCAGTTGGACTCGAGTTGGAATCAACGTAAATGTCGACGTCTTCTCCCGCTGGTTATCGTGTAGCGCTGCAGACAGATTACATCCCTGGTGGAGGTAAAGAGAAAACTCCCTCTGGCCCCTTTGTGCTTCATATTTGTCAAATTTCCTTCATTTCTATTCTTGTGGATGCAGAACTGGAAATCTTGGCATCTCAAGGCAATTTACTCCGTCTGCCAGATATCGACTGCCTGCTCTCTTTCTCCACGGCAGCAGAGTGAAACAAGGAGAGCCACTAACTCACCGACGTCAGCGCTATTAAAGACTCTATACTCGCTTAATTCCTTTTTTATCATCTCCCTCTGAACAGCAGCTGCATTTATTTTCCACTTTGAATCGAGGGCTGTTGCTTTGTCTTAATCCATTCCTTTCTTTTTCAGGGAGTGAATTCATAAGGTGGAATAAACAGGGACGTTTAACGTTAGCTCACTGGGTGGAAGCATCTGCACAACTCATTAATTCACAATCAATATAATCATCAACTCAATGAAATATCTGTTTTTACTTTCCATCTGTCCAGAGAAGTAAATATCACGTGTGTTAAATCACATTTAATCGAAGTGAAAGTTGTTCATTGTTGATTTGAGCTGAAGTTACTGAAGGACTGGAATCAGATTTAAATTAATTCAACTCCAAATATTACAAAATGCCTCCCGGGGCTGTGTGCAGGAAGACGATGAGCTCGGTGACAGACGACGGTCACATCCCGTTGTCAAGATGATGCTGTCATTGTATTAATGTGTTACTTACACTGTTGGCACTGTCATCAGGGGCGATTTGAGGGGCCAGTATTTGGAGGAGCCGGGCATCAAACCACCGACTCACTGCTTAGTGGATGCTACTTGCCGCGAGCAGCAGTTGTATTATGAATTTCACACTGACCGTGGAAGAGCAGATAGACGGATGTAACAACCGGTAACTGTCACTCCTCTGGATTCATTATGTGAGCGTGAGGTGAGTCAGGTCCACGGAGAACCCGTCCGACCGGCTCATTATTTTAAATCACTCCCCCCCCCCCTCAGTAACTCCGGGCGGTTTCCCTCTGAACTCTTTGAGATGACAGGTTATTAAAACTTGCTCCAATAAACAAGCTACCTGTGCGAGTGCGACACTCCATCCCCAAAGCAGAGGTCACATTTAATTGGGAACAACACGTGAAATTTTTATCCATTGAGTTTGAGACGACAGGAAATGCGCATCATCGCGAGCGGATGACGTCGTTCAGAGTCGGAGTCTGCTCAGAACCGATCTGGGTCTGGAGCCGCAGAGTCAAGGTCCTCGACCAATCAGGAGTCAGTCTTAGCTGTCGATCACGACTTTCACCCAGTTTTCATATCATCAAATAACGTAAACGTGAACGTGCGTCAGTGTGACGACAGAAATCATCTTTGAGAAAAAGTCACCTGGAGGAGACGGGGCTGATGACCTGTTCTGTAACCTGCCACCAGGAGGCGTGTCAGGCGTCCTCAGATGCTTGATGTTGGTTTCAGTTAACTTATCCATCTATCAGAAACTAAACCAAAGTACTGAGATATAGATATTTTAGATATTTAGATATGTAGATATTTTCGGAGCCACTCGTGGGAACGAGTCTGCAGATCGTTAGCACAGAAATCGATTCGCCTGCTCAGCTTCAAACCGCAGACAGAGGACGTCTGGTGAACACAGTGAAGCATCTGAAGATCTAGATGTTTCCTCAGGAGTAGATAAGAGACCAAACACTGAGCTCACAAGACTGAAGCCGTGGGGACAGACACAAATGTCCCCACAACGTCAAAAGGGCTGTTTTAGTCTTTTAGTGGTGATGAAGTCGTGGGGCACCAGCTGATTATTCTCTTAGAAATAAAGGAAGATGTTGAAACATGTTAATGTTAAAGAAAGTTTTTGACGTGCATCGCATCCGTCCACCAAGTTTTCTGACCCGTCCAGTAGTTTTTGAGAGAATCACCTGAGACGGACGTTGATGACGACTCTGGACCAGGCCACAGAGCTTTGGGAAGATATTTGCAGCCTGGAGCTAAAACACCTGAGTGGGTTTAACGGGTTGTGGGAAATTCTGGGACTCATCGAGCAGATCGAGGATATTTTTTTAATTTCACTGGATCAATAAAACAAACAGATGTTGATAAATGGTCGTTGGATCTGAAAGGTTTGATCCAAAGAATAGAATTAATTTGAATTCAAAGCAAAAAACTTGCAGGATGTCATCGAGCGATCGTAGCTGATGAAGCCCCCCCCCCCCCGAGATCTGTGTCGGATCCTTTGAACAACACGCTGACGTGTTTCAGGGACACGTCACCCTCCAAGTCTAATTAGCATGTGTGCATAATGTATGTGAAGATAGCAGCTTATTATATTTTCCGTGCGGACAAAAACCTTTTATCTTCTTCCTCTTCTCTTCATTGTGGCCTCGCTGCCAATACGATGCTGAAAGGCTCTCGGGGTTATTTTGTCAGATGGACGTTCAGGCCACTGTGTGTGTGTGTGTTTGCACTTTCACAAGCATTGTCACAGGAAAACTGAAGCATCGGCGACGGCGAGAAGATTAGCTGGTGACTTCTGGACTCAATGTACGACAGGATGGTCTGTGGGAATAGAAAGTAAAGTCTGTTCCCTGTGTGAAGCTGCATTCAAGTCATTCACCTGTAGGATTAAAACCGTCCAGTGTCTTTGTGTCTTCCAACGTAACAAGGTTTTTTTTTAATCTCCGCCAAGGAGGTTCTTCTTTAAACCCCCGGGTTCATTTATATGTTGGATTATTTTGTTTAAGCAGGATTACACAAGAACAACTGAACCACTTTCCATGAAACTTGGAGGAAGTGGAACAGGCCAAATCCTTTCTGGATTTTCTTTTCACTTTCTTTTAGGGCGTCGTTCGACATTTTCCCCCCAGAAGGATGATTTTATTGATCTTGCTGAAAGTGATATTCATGAGTGTGTGCGGTGTAGCTGGACTGAACTGAAGGGAGTGTTGGCAGAGGTTTGTGTTCCACTGAGAGCTCTTCTAATTTCAAAATGTGACAGAACGGAAAATAATAATAGAAAAAAAAAAGAATCCTGAAGGTTCGATCCTGAAACTCAGTGAATCTTTATAATCAGGACTGAAGCTGAAGTGAATAATTATTTTAATCTTTCACATCGTTTAATGTCTGGACCTTTCTGAGTGTTTTGAAAGCACCGGGATAGAACCTGAAATAAATGGGCAGAAAGGAAGCAGGTTGTATTTTAAAGATTCAGCTCTATTTTATTTTTTTACTGGGAGCATCAAACGCCTCTGATCTGCTCGTTGTAATGTCTGATTTGGATGCAGGGTTAGGACAAGGTCGTGAATTTAAAAGCTTCTCACGTCTTTTGGCTTTTGCATCTTAATTTCTCCAGAACGGAATTAATTAGCTGTTTACACCGTAAATAAAATGGACATATTATTAGTTGTGAATAGTTTATAGAAATGTAATTATGATTAAAAGAAGCGTATTAAGAGCAGATTAATACTCTGTCAATTGGGCGACGTACCACTTGCGTGTTCCGGCTTTGTTCAGTGCTAATTAGAAGTGTGAGCTGCTGGCACACCACACTAACACGGTGAGCAAAGTAAACTAAATGTTCACATTTAATTCAAAGCATTTATGTGTGTAATTAGAGGCAGGAAGCCTTTTAGCACCGCTCTACACTCTTAGTCACAGAATTAAGAAATTGGTTTTGTGGGAGAAGATGAAATGTTTCCTGCGTTTTACTCTGTTATCGTGAAAATAACCAGGACACATTTGATTTTCATGACGGAGATAATTTCCCTGTTGATTTTATATGAAGCAAGTGTTGTTGTAAGTTCTTCATAAATTAATGTACATTGGTCTTTTGGGATTTTAGAAACAAAGACATCCCACCTTTGTATTTTTATTTTAGGTTTCTCGTCGTTGTTTTTCATTCCTCTACAAAAGCCAAATATATTTAAGATCCTTTTAATTCTTTTCCAAGTCGAGTAGAAGAAACAGATAAAAGCTTCCATCCTCCCAAAAGTGAGCAGAAAGTGATTTGTTAAATTGAATTCATTCGCCGTCACTGTTTCTATTCAAGAATCCAACAATATAATAGCAGACGTGTTTAATCCGTTTCAACGCAGTAGGTTTGGAAATCACTGGACCGTGACAGTCCCCACACAGAGCGCCATCACTTTTCTTTGACGCCATTAAAAACATGACGCCGTGATTGACTTAATGGCTCCATGTGAGACTGGAGGGAAAGGCTGGATTATCTTCTGATTGTCTGGGGAAAACATCGTACAATCACTTCTCCCTCTCGTCCCATTCTTACATTTCTGATAACCGCTGGAGGCCAGAAGTCATTATGCCTGGTGTCGGAGTGTGACCTGTTTTGAAATTGAATCATTTTCATAAGCTGGGGGACAAAAAAACAAAAAAAAAAAAAACCCAGACCGGGTTTCACCTCATAAACCGACAGCAGACAATAAGAGTTTGATAGAAACAGTTGATGGGAAAGACGGGATGGAAATGCAGGTTTTGATTTTCCCGAAGTAACAAATTGAATCCATCAAACGAACGGGATCGGACTGAATCTGCTCCACATCGACAGCACCCACTCCGTCACACAGCGGAGACAGTGCTCTCCAGACCTCGTCTGTCCCACCAGCAGACGTTAGCGACACACAGTATCTCCAGTTGTGTAACTCGGTGCCTTCTGAGGCCGGCCCACCACAGGCTGATCAGACCCGGGTTAAAAAACCCCTGCAGCCAACCTGCACTCAGAAAACTCCCTCCAGCCTCCGCGCTCTGCCTCCGCATATCTTTCTCTCTTTTGCTTCATCAGCAGCATCCTCCCACAGTTCTGTCAGTGCAGGTGGACGACGTGCAGGGTGTCGTCCCCGAGTACCAGCTCTGCTGCCGGGATAATCATAAAGATGACTCCGAAGTGAAAATAAAGATCATTTTGTCAAAAGGAGAGAAGCTTTTTAAAAAATTTTTTATGTAAATAACAAAATTAGCTTCCATGTGCATAATAAAGTGCATGCAGTTATTTCTGGCTCCTGGAGGTGTTATGAATATTTAACGTGATCAAACAGGCTCACAGATTCTCCAGCTGGCAGGTAAACGAGCAAAGAGAGAAAATCCAAACTCAGAAAACACTCAGAGCAGAAGCAGAGGCAAAGACAAACAGAGGACAGGAGGCACGAGGGAGGCAGGGATGATTGGACACGCGAGGGACAGACGCTCGCAAAGAGAGGAGGGGGAGGAGACACAAGGGGACAGAAATTAATATAAAACAGGAAGTAATCAAGAGATAAAGAAGTCCAGTAACGTCTGCATCAGCGAGCTGTGATTGGCAGCTGGACCTTCAGGGCTGATTCATCAAAACAAAAGAAGAGAGTGACAGTGATCCGTCAGACCATCAGACGAACACGCAGCACAGGGACGACTGAGAAAACACAGGCGATCACAGGCCACCGGAGGATTTTTACCACGACGCTTAGAGACGTGAAGAATCCAATGATAGCTGCCGCCACTGTCCCACGCTGTTTCCTGTACGTGACGGGGACGCGACACCACGACAGAATAAATCAAAACTCAAACCTGTTCAGCCTGAGATCAGCTGAGTCGGACATTAATGCACGTGACGAGTGGTTTGTTCTGTTCCGATGCTGCTGCAGATCTGTCGGCTGTGTCGACGTTTAAAGACTCGCTGGTCCAAAGACTTGGTTTATCTGTGACCCAGGCTGGAAATATGTGTTGGTCTCACTCCATCTTCTTTAATACGTCCGTAACCCCGGAGATCCGCACCGGCCGCTCTCACTCTGCGGAAATACTCAGCAATAAACGGGGAATGAATTCTCAAGCTCGTTCATCATTGACCCAGCTTCACTTTTTCTTTTACGTCCTCTTGACACAATTTCTTTTATTCTCAAATTCTTTCACCTTCTAACACTAATCTGAACTTTTAAATTACCATCTAAAAAAAAAACCCTTTGAATACAGGACAAATCGTTTTATGAAGTTTCACGACCCTGATGAAACCTCTCAGACATTCTGCTCTTTGTAGTCATACTCCGAGTAGAAGTACTAGTAAATAGGCAAAAATGTTCCAAAATAGAAGTAGTACTTGCTGTGCGGAGCCTACGACATCATTCACTTGTGAAGTTGTAACGCCCGACATGAAAGTACAGGTATCTGCTGATATGTGTAGCGAGGTTAAATGAAAACTCTACACAAGTACAGATACTTGTTAATGTACTTCAGAAACAGGGTATATTTATTCATGTGTGTGCACACTGTCTAACTGATGTGTGTACTTCTCTTAATGATTGTCAGATATTAGAAATACTTGTTAAGTGGAATGAATAACAGCACATCTGAGTCCGGCTCCTCTGCAACATGTTGGATGCTGCTGTGTCTCTTTGTCTTGTTCTTTGTTCGGTTGTCATCTGTTCTTTTGTACAGAAACTAAAAAAGCAAATTGTTGTGTTGTTATGATCGAACCCTCAGTTTCCACGAGCAGCAGAAGAAAACCTGTAATAATACTCGTTCGTAATACTTAAGTAGTATATGGAGTTTTTCCTCCTGGATGCTGAGCAGGATCATTTCAGGATTTTTGTTTTATTTTATATCTTTTCATTTAATTTCTTCCTCTTTCACTCTTCATCTAATATTTAGAGTTTCTACTTTTATAAGTTTAGTTTCTTGCTGGTTTTTGATTTTGACTGTTTTAATATATAATCATTTCAAAATAATATCGTGCGCCTACATTTTCAAAAAGGTGAATGATAAAGAAGTCAAATCTCTCTGATTTTCAGTTGAAGTTAAAGTTTAGTTCGTTTAAACAACCTAGAGAACGTATATTGATCCATGAAGTTCAATCAAAACTAGCAACAACTTATTTGCCAGGAAAAAAATTCCGACACATTAAAGGAGCTGATATTAATGAGTGTGTGAAATCCGTTGAAGCTTGATTGAGTTAATTGAACAGTCGGACCTTGGCGGAGGCAGGAGCTCCGCTGCGTGACATTCTTATCCGTTTCCTGTCATCATCACATGCAGCATCATAATTATTATTAATGTAATTTTTCAGTGCTTTACTCAATCATGTAATTTTCCACTAATGTGCATTAGCAGCGTCTTCGTGAGATCATGCGAGGGAACTTATTGTTTCAGCCAGTTTTTGAATCAGAATAACAAAGAAGCATCTGTTATGAAGATGATGATTTCATGATGCTGACCATTAGAGAAGGAGATTTTATATTGACTATTTAAAGCCTTCGTTCATCGTCCTTCTCCGTTTTCTCTGTGATGTCTGTTGTTTCTCTCAACAATGCCAGTTAATGCCACGAAGGCAGGAACTTTATTTCCAGATTACCGATCGCTTCTAGTATTATTTTACATCTCATGGATATAAAATGATGAAAACACTTGACAGTAACATCAGTTCTGAGTTTGAATCGTCAGAAAACGTTTCACTCCACTCACTCAACTTGAAGTGCAGCAGGGAGGAGAGCGTGGTGTGAGAAGAGGACGATGCCACATGTTGGATAAAAGGAGAATTCACTGACGAGAGAAATGCACCAGCAGTAAAATGTGCGGATGTGTTGTCCATGTTGTGTTTTTCATGTGTTGACTATTCCAAATACAAAACGCTTGTTATTGAAACTGCATTTGCATAATAATTCTTTCCAGACTTCCAGACGTCTTTAACTTTTTGTTCCTTTGAATAATGCATGAACGCAATCTTCAACAAAACCCTTTAATGAAACAAAAGGGGCCGAGGTCCTCAGAAATAAAAATGTGTGCGGAGGCTCGTGGCTGAAAACAGAAGCAGCTGCTCAAGAACTCGGCCAAAATGAAATAAGACGGACTGAGAGACACAGTGAGCAGTGTCCTGAATTAAAAACAGGTCATTTCACAGTTGGAATAATCTTCATCCTTCTTTTCTCCCGGTGTCCATCAGGTTACGCTCCAGTCACAGGAATGTGTCACCCTGTCCGGAGCTGCACCCTCAACCACGAAGACGGCTTCTCCTCGGCCTTCGTCGTGGCTCACGAGACGGGACATGTGTAGGCTCCTCTTCTTATCTTCCTCCTTCTGTTTGTCCTCATTCCTCCTCCCAGGGAAACACTGAGACGTGGTTTCAAAAGTGAAATTACTGTCCTTCCACTGAATACCACAGCTGCACATGTTTAGTGAACGGCTTCCCAGGGCCTTTGTTTCCGCTGTGATCTCGATGATAAGTGACTCCGGGGACCTTTAAGGAAGATCGGCCTTGAGCGCTCTGACAGCAAACATGTTAGCCTTATTGAATTTCATGGTTTGTTTGCTGAGCACGTGTCCAGGAACACAAGGGGCCGGCCACTGTTTGTTATCGTGTCTCTTTCCCCGTCACCGCACGTCCTCCACATAAAAACACAGCAGGGAACCCTATTGAATCTCGCACACAATGAGCACCGGTAATATCATGGACACGTAATGATGGATGACTCCATCATCGCTGAGTGTCCACGGTGCACCTCATTCAGCTGTTGATAGGGATTAACCAACATGTCGCCCGGACCTGGAACCAAACAAAAAGAAAGAACAGAGAAAAACCTTCAATACGTGCGACGGAGGGAACGAGTCGGACTGTAAACGGTGACACGAGAACAGAGTCAGAGTCTCGGCCCAGATCTCCGCTGTTTACACCAGAGGCTGATTCCTCGTCAGACGCAGCTGACGATAAGAACTACCTAAAATAGAAGAAACTGCAAATGTCCCCATCTTATCTTATCTTATTGTGACCTAAATGGCAATCAGCCACCATCATGACATGCTCTCCGTGGCAACAACTATTTTAAGATTATTCCGGTGTCTGGAATTTTACATCAGAGTTGGAGAAATATTTCAGATGTGACTCAACTGTGAAATCTGCAGGAACCTGGAGGCTGTTCAAGCTTTTCTTTTTTAAAATGTTCTTCTCTCTGAAGAACAATCACATCCCCCCGCTCACCGGTGTTGATGCTCCTGATACGAGCTTCGTGGGTCCAGAGGGAAAATCATTTGAATCGTTGAGGACCGCAAACAGGAGATGTTTGGTTTTATCACCCAACTGGTCCAGAGGGAAACTCTGTCCAGTCGGATACAAATGGATTTAAACTGGTTAAAGCCAGGATTTAAGAGATTGGTGCTTATGATTAAACCCCAGATCCCACGTGAGGTTTCTTACTCTGGGTTTAAATGTTCTACTTCAGCTAAAACCTCCAAATGGTTTTATCCGTTGCTGTTTTTGTTGAAAATGGAAATGACTTGGACGCGGGGTGGTGTTGTAGAGGGAAGAGAAACCGTCAAAAAGCAACCAGCTGAGACGCCAAAGACTCAGAGATGACGGTTGATGCTCTGCAGCTGAGCCTGAAGACGAGAGAGAAGAGGCTCCGTCCTCAGGGAGCTAGACTCCGCCATAAAAAAAGACTCGTATAAGAAGAAATGGGAAGTCAGGGGTGCACGTACGCGGCTGTCTCCAGCGAGACATTTCTGTCAGATGCGTGCACGTCACACATCAAACCCACAGACGCAAAATTTTCAGTCGGCAGGGAAGCTGATCACAAAACTCAAATCTGAGGTTGTGAGCAGGAGAATGAATCCCTCCCTCTGCAAAATGAAATCGATCACTAATGTGAAACAGCACAAACGTCACCGGACACACTCTGACCCAACACAACACACACTCTGTTCTGCTCGTCTGAATTCTGTTCCGTTCTCTATGACGTCAGCTCCTCTGTGGAGACAATGAGAAAAAAAAAAAGATCTTTATCCTTTTCTTAGTTTTAGGCAATTAACCCTTTGAACTTCTGAATTTAACTTCATGGGGGAAAAAAGGCTAGAATAAGAATAAGAATATAATTTTCATTAGATAACAATTAGAAGAAAAATAATTATTAATGAAGGAGATTAGATGTAACATTTAAAATGCAGATTTGTTTGGCCTTCTGTGAAGGTCTTCCAGACCCTGAGGCTTTTCCACAGAGTCGTTAAGAGGGTCGAGCTTTTTCAAATAAATGTGAGCTGGAAACAGACCTTGTGTTTGGTTTGTCGAGTCTCTGCAGGTCCCAGCTCGTCCTTAGTTCGTCCACTTAAAGTTTCTTTTTTTGTTCTGCAGCATCACAGTCATTGTTTTGCAGTATGGACTTGATTTACCATCTTTTCAATGCACTGTCACTCATGAGTCTCAGCGGCTGCAGAGCGCTGGTTGTGTGTTTATTCCAAGTTTAATAGAAGCAAACATCTGATTTGTTCAAATTGCACCGACACCACATTCCTATGGGCCCTTAAATAAGATGAATAGCTCTTGTGACATGTGAGCCACAGATTTCTGAAAAACTTTTACCTGGAGAAGGAGAAGTTATGGATGAGACAACAGAAACGGTCGTCTATTAAAACTTCCAGATGCTTCTGTGGTAACTTTCTGAATTTTGAGCTCCTTGCGTCTCTCAAACAGAAATTTACGCGCCGCTCTCAAAAGCCTCACCTTCCTCCTGTTGAGTTCTTCTTTCACATCTGTGGTGCACATCTGTATGCACGCCCCTCAGTGAGATATCTGTTAAAACAAGCATCTCTGGATCCTGAAAGCATCAGCTCTCCTCTCTCGTCTGACTCCCAGAGCGACGCCTTCATCCAGGAGCGTGCACGTCCCCCCTTTTATTCAGTGTGACTCGTCAGAGATGCCGTGACGTGCAGTGTTTACCTGGTGAGGACAGTGAGTCTTTAATCCGCCGACTCCTCCAGGTAACTTAAAGAATCACATGACCGCATTATAGCCCGTTTAAAAACACACACTTTACATCCAGGTGAGGCTGAGACACGTTTGTTACGCTGCCTGAGTGGAACATTCGAGCCAACAGAGACTCTCGAGGGGTCTTCGTGCGGCGGAAAGGGGATATTGATTTATTCAGCACAAAAGAAATGCAGCAAGAAAACTAACAGAGGAAATCATGAAGAAATGTCAGACTCACTCACCCACGCGGCACACTGACAGCTGGACCGAGAACAGGTGCTCGACGGCCTATTTGATTTCTTTTGATCGTTACCTCATTCGACGTGTTTCAAATTGCTGTGTGAGGCCGACGGTTCCGCTCTGTTCGTGGGAAAGATCCATTTCGGAGTAAAATGGAAGAATTTGTCACAGAAAAGCTTCAGGTCCTGGAGTCAGAAATCAGCCAAGAAAGAGAAAAACACTGAAATGACTGTGTTATCAGATCAGAGAAATAGTGCTGCGACAAAAACATGTCCGAAAACCGAGAATAGCGTTCGTTCAGGTGAAGTCACGAGGTCGAGCTCACCCACGATGAGTTACTGCAGCGATTGAACTCAAATAAGTCACGTGTTCTGTTCAGTAACATCCGTGTCGCCAGTTGAGAGGTTTGTTTTTTTTGGGACATTTCCAACTTCAGGCTTCTTTGGAATTCTTCTCCTCGTGTGCAGCGCATGAGCTCGTCTTAATAACGTCCCATTAACATCTTAAGAGGATTCTTATCGTGCAGCCGCAGCGTGGCAGACAGACGACAAGCGCCTGAGAGTTTAAGGCATCAACCATTAATTCTAAGTTGAGACATTCTCTCTCCTCTCGTTAGAAAAGACGGATGATATTTGATTCAGACTCTAAAAGCCAGAGAAGAGTTGTCTCTGCTGTTAGATTTCCTGAGTGTGGGTTGGTTCCTGCAGTCAGCTGTCGGTGAAGAGGAGAACCTTCTGGCCTTGCACACAAATACTGTCCTGAACTTCATTAGTCGCAACTATTCAAATGTTTAAGTGAAGTTTTTTAATTAGTTATTCATTTTGCATGATATCTCCTGGACTTCCTCTAAATCTTACTTGTGCTCCATATCAGGGCACACTAATAAACAATTGCACGACCCGTTAAGAGAAGTCACCGACTCTTTCTGGGTCGGGGGGGGTCCTGTCTGAGAAAACGTTTTTCAAAGTTTGGTTGATTGATAAATATGTTCAGGTCTGTAATAAATTCCAACGAACTCCGGTCTGTTAGAAACCTGAGCTGAGAATCACAAACAAATCAAGACTAGTAAATGAAGCTGAGATGGAGACATTGATTCCAGGAGGTTGCTGCAGAGGTTATGAAAGTTTTTGCTGATGTCATCGAGGTGACGAAAGTTAAACGTCAACCCACAGATGGAAGAACATCATCGTCTGTGTCTGGTTCAAATGAATTTTGATTCTAGTATTTAAAAGACACTGACACTTGTCGAGAAAATCATGTGATTAAAATGTCACTTCCTGTCTTTGATGCTGATGATGCTTTGATGCTCCTGCTGTGTCGCGCACGTGAGAAAGATAAACTCCAGAGTTTAATCAGAGGTCGCGTCTAGAAAAGCTTGAGTTCACGAGGGACACTAGACTTGTTTATGTCCCTGAATGCATCAGGGACATACGGAGAGTAATCAGCTGCTCATGAGGACGATAAACATATCATGTGAAAGTCACTTCCAGGATCTAAACCAGTAAAAACGTCCATATGTTCCATCTGTCCTGGATCTCAAACATGTGATGAGGATTAAAGCGTCTCTTGTAAGGCACTTTATAAATTCAAGCGTTAATTATTATTTGAACATAAAACTTTATTCTCCTTCATGAGGACAAACTGAACTGAGGTACAGGTGAGAAAGTCACATCAGCTCTGTGGAGCTTCAGACTTTCAGGGTTTGTCCTTCACGTCCTCCTGCAAACTGTTTTCAATAATGCACATTGATCTTGTGATACTAATGTCCACAGGGACGGAACGCAGAGCTGCACATGGTGATATGTGTGTGTGTGTGTGTGTGTGTGCGTGTCTCTGTTACTGAGGGATTCAGTGACGCCTGAACGGAGCGTGACTCCTACGTGGCCACACCCTCAACGCAGCCACTATCTGTCTGCCAAAGGCTCCGTAATTAATGAGGTTTGATCGAAGACGAAAATGTCTGTCTCACAGACGCAGACGAGACGACTTATCTCCACCAATGTTCAACACTCAGGTTAAATTCAATCAAACCTCAAAAACAAAACAGATCATAGAATAACTGGAAACTGGATCGGCTGTGTTTCTGTTCCAGTTCTTAACGACCTGTCTGTTAAACCACACGGCTCTCAGCGTAGGTACAGACGTGCACAGGTTTAATACCTGAATCCTCCCACTAGCCCTCATGGATGTGATGTGAAATGCAAATCCAGTCGCCTGAAAATCTCCACACATAAAATAAATCTTGGCCAAATTTAGTGGAAATATGTTGCTTTGAATCTCATGTTTTCATAAAATAAAATAAAATGTCATGGGCAGGAAGTGGAGTGGACAGAAGGGAGGACAGAAGAAGCTGATAATAGATTCACACGGAGTGAAACACTCACCAGCTGTGATGTCCTCTGTTTGTTGTGGCGTTGAACTGAATGTGAACCTTTATGACGTCATTAGATTAAGTGGAACATCATCTGTCTTCTGGCCACCGAAGGTTAATTCAAGGTGTCGGTTTTCCGATCCGCTGTTATAAAAGTTCACCGAACGTCTTTGCTCGTCTGTCCTCGGCAGGTTGGGCATGGAGCACGACGGCCAAGGAAACCGCTGCGGGGATGAAACAACGATGGGAAGCGTGATGGCTCCTCTGGTGCAGGCGGCCTTCCATCGATACCACTGGTCCATGTGCAGCGGGCAGGAGCTGAAGCGATACATCCAGTGAGTTCATGCACACGCGGCCGGGGCTCGTGTTGGTTCATAGACAACGAGCTTTTCACTCGACTCCAACAAAATCAATCAATCCTGACACAGGATGTCCAGCGGAGCGGGAAACCAAAGTCCGGACCGTATACGAGGCGACGACAGTGTGCAGTGTGCAATCAATGTCTTTATGGTGCAGAGTGTTGTTCTGCAGCTCCCAGCGGTTTGAAGTGGATCCCTTTCAGTGGAAAATCAATGTTTTGTATGGAAAGTGTTCCTGCGCGATGATATCGTGGGACGGTGCTCGGTTCCAATGGGGGAGCTGCCGCTGCGGTGAAGTAATTAGATGTTTGAAATCATTTACACGCAGAAAAACACTTGTAGGATGTCTGGTGTGACTCTGAGCTGGGTTTAGCGGCGCCTCTCGTCAGCTCAGCTCGGATTTACAGCAGCTGAGCCACCGTCTTCCCCTCGTTGCTGCCAAACCTGACATATGAAGCGTTTGCTCTTAAAGCCGTGTGCAGAACTCAGAAGGTGTCACACAGAGTTAACAGCGAGGAGACACGAGACCGTAAACGGTCAATAGTTTTTTGCTGCTACGAGACAAATTGTGATTTGTTGATATGGTCGATACAAAGCACAGTGACTCAGCGAGGCCTCGTTTACCTTCTGCCATCGACTCTGCTCCGGAAACATTTTTGTAAACGATTGCAATAAACTCAACAGATGTTTCACAGGTGCTTCACAGCCGCCATCTTTGTTTGGCTCCTTGAGGCCGAAGGCCGCCGTGCTACCGAGCACCTGTTCATTTAAAGTTTATTCCTTTAACTTATCTCGCGTCCAAATTCACCACGACAAGTGTTGAGCTGATTAGACGAACGGATCTCGAGATGTAAGAGACATACGGACGGACATATAGATGCATTTTCATTCAGAACTCTTTGTTGTTGTCTGGCTCACTTTTTTCTTTATATTTCCTGTCAGCACATACGACTGTCTCCTGGACGACCCCTTCAAACACGACTGGCCACAACTTCCTGAACTTCCCGGCATCAACTACTCGATGGACGAGCAGTGTCGATTTGACTTTGGAGTGGGCTATAAGATCTGCACTTCGGTGAGTACAGCCCTGGGGTTTCCGTGTAGCAGCGGGCTACTGAGAAACGTTTGAATTTATTTTTCTCAGGCTTTAAAAAAAAGTGGGAGCGCTCGAGATGAGCTGAGCAGAAAAGTTCTGTTGAGCTTTGAGGAGAAAGACGTGCGGGAGATGATTAATGAATCCATATCCACCGAGTTTTGATGCTCAGTCACTGATCGTTTCAAACAAACATCTGTTTTCTTTTCCTCCGTCACCTCCACAACTGTTGTTCTTCTTTCTCTGCTCAGATCACGACAACTAATGTCCCTGTTCTATCAAAGCAAGATGACGATGGAAGAAATGTTTTAATACAAAAAAAAAACCTGGAACACTTCCTTTCAGTCATTTTATTTTTTTTTTGAAACAAAAAGATCACAGCAGCGTGTGAGTCATCGATCTGATGATCGTGTGGCTGGTGTCCGTCTCTGCAGCAAATATCAAACTCTTTCAACGAGAGCTTCTTCCAACACATAATAACTTCAAACTCAGAGGATGAGGCGCAGAGGTTTGACATTTCTGGACCGACCCTCGGGGGGGTTCTGACTAAGATCTTCATTCGATGACTAAGCTCTTGACTTTAAATCAAGGCTTCGACTCTTCTGTCTTATCTCTCTAAGTTTGCACTTCTCAAGTTACTCCCGAGTGTTAGTTGTTGGATTTGACTTATTGTCACTTTCATAACACACGTACAAACAAAGCTCAGAGCCGCCTCTGATTGTGAAACTTCGTTCACTTTCTTCAGCAGCTCGGGGTTTTATAAAACTCACCGATGTCACCAAGTCAAAGCTGCTGTTTCCAGTATGTTATGTTAGCTTTGCATCAGATGACTCGTTGCACTGTAAAGTGGTAAAAACCCACAGAGAATAATCTCCATTAGTCTCAGTGTCTTTCAGCACATGTCTCTGGTTTTTTCCATCCTGCTGTTTTATCTCTGGATCTCTTAGTGGAGTTGTTTCCTTACGCAGCAGCAGCTGTTTTCACTGAGACGACTCTTATATCACACTATCTGCACCAACACCACACCGCAGGCCGACAGACGGGTTCACACACAGGAGCTCACAGCAGCTCAAGAGCCATATATACATATATTTCCCACAGGAGTCTGTGAGACCAAAAACAAAGAGAGCGAATCTTGAGTTGTCATTAATCAGGCGGCTAAATCACGACTTAAATCCAAGAGAATCCGACATTCTTTTATTCGGCCTAAAAAATGTGTGTCTATCTTCCCTCATAGACAAATTCAGCAGACAGCTGCTGTCTTCTCCCTGAGGGGTCTTCCACTGGCAAATTGAATTGACGTGTCGAGCGTGAATCGATCAGTTATCGATTGTAATCGTGCGGATTTTTAATCAGCTCGACTGGAGACTCGCTCGTTTGTATGATGCAACTTCCTGTGAGAGCTTGATGACAGCACATGAACCTTCAGACTCTGGGGTCCAGGCTTTCTCCGGACTTTGCCGCTCACGTACGAGCGTTAACAACAACAACAACACAAATCTCCAGAGCCAGGACACAACGTATGAATGCCGCTGTGGATGTTGTGTGTTTTATTTTAAGGCACATTAACACCAGCAGGGGCCCTGAACTACGCGTTTATAGCACCGCTTTGTATTTTGTATTCTTTTGTTGTTGATTTCCGGTTTTGTCTCTTATCACTTTTCAGAAATATTTAAATAAAAACACACACAGGAGAATCTGCTGCTGTTTTCTCACATGAGTTCACTCCGACAATATCAGAGGAGAAACTCTCGATATTAACAGCGACTGACTCTGACATTCACGTACAGCGTCTTCACGTACGTCTCAGAGGGATGAGCAGTAGAGATAATGGATGGAACATGGACGGACAGTGAGCCCGACCCCACGGATCCCTGGGAAACGTTATCTCATAAACATAAACACACGTCACGGTTTGATCAATGTCGGTAACTCCATAAATTCATCCTTTTGCCCTCATGTACTTTCTCCTTCACCAGTTTCTGCTCCTTCCTGTGAGTCGGACCAGCAGCAGAGAAGCAGAGAGGCAGAGAGACAATCACGGTGTCACATCCATCATCTCTAACTGACTGTTGAGATTTCCCAAGTGGAAATCACACGGCTCATTCAGAATTTTTTCAAAGTGTGTGCAAATCAAACCAACGGCAGGAGCTGGTGCACTGATTTAAAAACCACTCCGCAGCTGTAGTGCTCTTAGTTCAGACCAGTTTCAACCATGAAGCTGACGAGGACGTCCTCTTGAATTCTATGGAGCACAAATTGATCACATCTCGGCTCCTGTGCGGTGCATCCCCTCAAATCTTCAGAACGCTGCAGCAGTGACTCCGACCTTGTTTCTATTCACCGCTCTGTGTGCGTCAGGTTTTCAGATGAAAGCCGGACTCTCTGCAGAACTCAAGAATGAATGAAGTGGCAGAATGAAGCACAGTCCGAAGACTAAAGCAGGTGGGAATTTCTAAACAGTCCCCGTGTCCAGAGTCCAATCAGCAGAGAGGGCAGGTGGGTGAGCAGGCGGGCGTCCAAACAGTCCAGCACCAGAGTCGGCTGAGTGAGTCAGGTGGAAGGTCAGAGCTCTCTACTGGAGATACCAGACACAAACACCCAGCAACAATATGCTAAGCTAAGATCTCTGGAGATAAGACTCATCACACACGAGGCACAATGGACCTGTTTGTCTCCCTAAATGCATTTGGGACATAAGGACAATAATCAGCTCGTCACGAGAAAGAACAAAGTATAGATGTGAATCATGTGAAGGAAACTTCTGAAGCATCGTCCTCCACGGGAACGTTTCTCAGGATGCTGTTAAAGTAACATAACAGAGTCTCAGATGCAGAAGGTTCGACCACAATCAGGTGGAGAGTTCACGGGTAGTTCAGACCTGAACACGACAAACAGAGGTTAGTATTCAGGATCCGCTTCAGAGTCTAAAGGACCATTCAAATACAACACTTTAGAATCCACTCTTTCTCAAAGGCGTTTTTTTATTCATGCTCGGGGGCGTTCGAATCGTGCTGTGAAACCACGTGCACATCAAATGCATGCTGTGCTTCCAGGCACCGAGTGCACGACGAAGGAGAAGCTGCTGCTGCCTGAGTTCACAAAGTGATACGACTTTAGGTTTGTGTTGAGACCTCAGGAGGGAAGTGAGCATGTCGGGTGTGGAGACACTGTCTGTCTCACGTCGCTGTCTGTCTCACGTCGCTGTCTGTCGTCCTCTGCGGCTGCACGACGATCCGGCAGCGGGGACGAGTTTTTCGTTACGCACGTTTGAACAGGGAAGCGACTCAGAGTGCTTTACATAAAACTCAAACCCTCCATCTCCATGTCAACAGATTGGACATGGACCAAACTAAAGTACCAATTTTTCCCCGAATTGATTTGTGTCTGTCAGGTCTCTGGTGAGTTTTTTTAGTTGGTGGATGATATGAAAACACGGTGAAACGTCGTGATTGACAGATAGAACTGGTGTGTCATTGCTGTTAGAGCAGTGATGTCGGTACATGGAGTAAACAGAGCTGCAGTTGGATTGATGTGAATTCTGGATTGGCGTCTAACGACCATTTGTGTCACGTGCTAAATGGGTTTTTGTTTGTTTGGAAAAAAAGTTATTCAATCCATCTAATTGTCTTGTGAAGAACCACTCAACCGAGCAATTAAACCAAATTAGACACTTGGCTGCAGCAGACATTTTCACAGAGTTAATTAATCTCTGCATGGTCTAAATACTAAAGTATTTCAGTTCTTACAACTCTAAATGAATAAAGATGGAACGAAGGAAGCAGCATTAGTTGTTTCATAATTTACTGCTCAGCTAAATAAAGGCTCTCACTGAAGGAACAACATCTTCGTCTGACACAGAATCACCTCCAGTCCGAGAGGTGAGCGACCAGAGAGATTACAGAGCTGAAATACATCCAGGGAAATACGCCGGATAACAGACGGTGATGATGTGTCAGGGCGTGAACACAGTCCAGGAATAGAAGAGCTTGTACGTATGATTCGTGCAAAAATCTAAAGGTGATGTGATTTTAATGGATCAGGTGAAACTGATTTTTTGTTTAAAACAGGGAAAAATACCTAAAGAAGGAAAAATCCTTCTTCAGTCAACCGCACCTCGAGAGGAATAAACAGCTGCATTGTGAATTAACTGCAGATGTGAAAGACAGAAGAGAAGCTCAGAGGCAAAGAGACGATTCTCAAGTTCCTCTGATTCTGTGTGAGGCGCCGACAATGTAAAGTAGAAGTAAATAGATAAATTAAATGTAGAAATGCAGAACTAAAGAAATATAAATATGCATAAATAGGCTTTTTTTTTCATTTCCAACATGTAAATAA